ATCCTATAGGATTCCTTTAGGTTTCTATAGGATTCCTATATATTCCTAAAGGAATATATAGGAATCTTATAAGACATTTTCGTAAGGGTTGGGTTCCTTCCTTTCATTCTCTTGTGAAGGGCGGTGGGAAGGTCCGCAACTTTTCGTCCTATAAATATTATTATATTAAATAAATTATAGGAATCGGTCGGCAGAAAAAAAATCCAAATCGTCCAGACAGAAAAAATGAATGGCTTCAGGCGATTAGAAAGAAAATTCCCAGATTTGCTATCGTGCGATCGCGTCATGTCTCCTTCCCCCATCGTGGTGGGAAACCGACGAGAACCTTGGATCACCATCACCCGCATTCGCGTTGTGCACGAAAAAAATCGGCGCACCGGAATGCTCATTGTTTAGAGGTTGAAATCCTTTGTCGAACGCTGAAGAGAGGAGCATTGAAGACTGCGAAACAATTATTTCCACTCTGATGATGCAGCAACAAAGTCATGAAAGACTTAAATGTGCTGCTATGATAGAAAAAAAATCTGCCCTGAAAGGAATGGTCGCAAATACTCAATTTTAAAATAAATGATTAAATCCAAAATCCCAGAATTCGCGAGACTGAAACATCGGAACAGTGAAAATACAATGAGGGTGAATCGGGATCATCGCGAACGAAAAAGTTGCAAATGATGCTGACCCGAAAGGGAATTTTCATGACGTATGATCCAATGCGAGATGACCTGACATCGAATCCCCATTCCTAAGAAAGAGGTTTTTTTGTCGGTGTTTTTTATATAGGGCTTTTAATATGATTCAGGTTTCGCGGTTTTTTATTTTTGCACGGTTTCCCGTGCCACCGGCTCGCTTCGCCACCCTGTCCCCTTGCACGGCATGCCCTTCATTCCAAATCGCGCTTCTGCGCAGATCCGAGAGGCGTCTCTCCGTCCCCCCTTGCTTAAAATGATGATTTTTTTTTAGGTTGGGATCGAAAGAGAGCCTCGAGCTTTTGGACGGAATACACCTGATCAGATGAGCCCATTTAATCGGGTGAGTTTCGTGGTTTTTTCCACTTTTCCGTCTTCTAACTTGTTTCTTGAACGATTCCGCATCTGACCGTTCCTCAGTAGACAGACGGAGAGAACACTCGGAGAAATGAGTAAATGGAAATGATAGACTTCTCTCAATTTTCGAATTTCGATTTTTTTTTTTCAAGAGGAAAAGGCATCGACGGTGAAATCTGATTTATTTCAGTCGCTTCCCAACCGTGCCGGAAAGCCTGAAAGGTCTCTGCAAAACGGAAATGCCTCTATAACCGAGTCAAGAGGGGGGGGGGGGGGGAAGGATATCAGGAGCCAAGCAAGAAATGGATAGAAGGGTTGACTCAATCTGGAGAGCGTGTATCAAGTTGAAATTTCAGACGATTTTCTAACGAACGGCGAGATTCCTGGGAAGGGTGAGAATGATGTAGACCCTGCACTCTGATATTGTCGACAGAGTGATTTGGAAGACAGAAATGAGATGGAACTGGCTCTGAAGATTTGATACGAATGCCCCGAAGGTGTTCCACAAAACGATCCCCCAGGCGACGTCCAGTTTCACCTACATAAAATTTGGAAGGGCAGATGTTGCAGGAGATGAGATAGATAACATCTTCGGTGCAGCATGTGAAATTTTGTAAGATTTTGAAGTGTCCCTTGGGACCTTTAATGGAGAGAGAGAGGAAGAAATGAAGGGACAGGTGAAACAACGAGGGCGACCACAAGGGGACGTCCCAGCTGTGCACGGGGAGCAGAGTTTTAGGTGGGATATTAAGTTCATGAGATTTCTGTCGCGTAGGAAAGCAAGGAGAGGGGGAGCGAAGATGGGGGCAGTGTCAGGTCCAGACATGAAAATGGGAAAGTTAGACTTGATAATATTGGTTACAATGTGAATAAGAGGGTGAAAGGTTGTCACAAAAGGATGCGGGACGAATTTGAAGGTTGACTGGGCGAGATGAGAGTGGAAGATTGGAAGAGGGTGAAGTAGTAGTACAGGAACGACTGATCCTGTTCAGGACATTGCGAACCAGTTCAGATAGAAAGCCACGTCGAAAAAAGAATTCAGAAAGCTGAGTGGCCCTTGAAAGAAATATCTTGGGAGAGGAGCAAATACGTTTCAAGCGAAGAAATTGAGAGTAGGGGGTGGAGGATTTGCATTTGTGAACGATAAGTAAGAATGAGAATCTGTGGGTTTCCAAAAGATGTCCGTAGAGAGCCCATCACGAAGGGGAGATACTGAGATAATCAAATCAAGGAATGAGACTGACTGATCACTGACGAAAGAGATAAAGTGCTGACAAGGGTGCATCGAAGAGACAGCCCGAAGGGAGAGATGCCCTCCGTCGAGGTAGAGGAAACGCCAATGATATCATCGATATAGCGTAAGAAGGGGAAGATGTCCTTGGAAGGAATTCAGGAGTTTATGATACCCAACAAATGGCATGCATATGACGGTCCCATGGCGACACCACCCGTTTGGATAAAGTTGGAGTCATACCATTGAAGGGAAAGGAGTTCAGAGTGGGTATAAGTTCCGCCAAACGAAGAAGAGTGGACGTAGGGGGATCCAGACGTTGACGTCGATCGAGAAAGAATTTGAGGACAAGAAGGCCATCACTGTGTGGGATGACAGTATAGAGTGAGACGATGTCCATGGTGAACAAAACAATAGATCCAGACGGTTGCAACTGGACAGCCTTCGATGGATTTCCACTCAGCTTTTGCGTGGTATCGATACAATATAAACTGTAAACATGAAACGGTTCCTCGCCCAGTGACTGACCAATGCATACCTTTCGTGCTTCATGCTCCCGTTAATACAACGAGTTCTTGTTCATTATAAAGATCATGAGCTGGCCTCCCCAGATTTTTCGTCCACGAGCCGCCACTGCTGTACTTTCAATCAAATGTAACATGAGGAGACTCAACTTTTTTTTTTCCTAAAAGTTTTTCTCTGTCAAAATATCCCAGTGCTTGTCAGATGAATTCTGTAAGGGGGTTTATTCTGAAAATGATGTAAATGTAGCCCAAATATTTTTTGTTATAAAGTAATTCATTGCATGGAATTTGCTAGAACAAAAAAGTACACAAGAGTTCAAAACATCAAATAAACTCTGAATCCCAAGCAACTGAGTAATGTAATACATGTAAATGTTCTTCCATAAAACAAAAAGGTGATGTAGATGAGACCCCCTGGCCATGTGCTAAAAAAAATTACTGTGCATCTCTTGAGAAGGTAAAGATAAAAGCGAGGAGGATTTACTTTGATAGATATTTTGAAGAAAGTAAGACATGAAATACATTTGGCATATAAATGATGTGTTGAATTGTCAAACATTTCCAGGAAGCTTCCTGAATGATTTTGGTACTGAAACAAAAAGAAAATGACAGTGTAACTGAATCTAAGTATGTAGTAACTTATTTTAAATGAATTCATTACAGAAGTGGGCACATCTCATGCTATTGTCAAACAGCCTAGAGGTATAAAGTTAAATACATGAAATAAGAAAGTTGAAGCAATATATTATATGGATCTCATGCTTGGACAATCTTTTCTTTAAAAATGATGATTGCCATAAACTGCTTGTTCAGATGCAATCACCACCTCTGCTCTTCTGGATGGGAACTCTTATTGATTACAGGTCAATATAACAAATGCAGTAAATAACTATCCTAGCAGGCATATCCTACATGGTTAACACTATTACAGACTCAAATATTTTCATTGGAAGCATTTGAGCTGGCGATTTAGAATGCAAATTCAGAAATTTTCTCAACAGATAAAATTGGAAAATGTAAATACAGCCTAATAGGCAGGATGAGTTACACACACAATAGGAGAAAAATGACTGCATGTACAGGAAGAAAGGTAGGCGATAAAAGGAAAGTGCATTTCAGGGATCTCTTCATCAGGTGTTTTCCAGACCCACATTACTTTGGGTGGTGAATCATTGGTTTGGTTCACTCAATAAATACTCACCATGAGATTTTCTCAAGTGCATTCATTTAATTCATGGAAAGCATAACTCTCTTTCACAAATGGGACACAATCCAATAATAACAGCATCATGGAAAGCAGAGACAAAGTTAATACAGATCTAAATTGCCTCATCTTAGAGTGCCAGAAAGGCAATCAGCTCCTTTCCTTCTTCTCTAAGGTATGCCTGGCAACCAATGAGGGATTCACAAGATATTTTTGTACTGGGCTAGAAGTCAATCACAATTATGGGATTCTTTTTTTTTTTTTTTTACTTATTTCCCCTATACCTTCTTCTGTATTGCACTCAGACATCACAAAAGGCCACAATGAATGAATCAGAATGACATGAGATCAGAATGTGGGTCATCCTCAAGGAAGTTATCCCAAGCTGCCTGCATGCATGTTGGGGATGCAGGGATGAGGAATTCCTGGAATGCCTCTCTATCCTTGGAAGGGGATTGAACATCAAGCATTGGATGACCGTTTGGAATGCGTGAAAATCCCTTGCTCACTTCCACAAAGTCATCCTCGAACCCCTGTGCACAAGAACAAAAGAGAGATATCAGGTAGACCCCTTAATTCTGACTACAAAGGGGGAAAGGAAAGTCAAAATTGCAATGGTTCAACAACTCACAAGATTTTTGATAAAGCTATTTGGTGAGGTTGGACGAGGTGGAATCCAGGGATCATTGAGGCTCATTGCTCTCTGTCGAGGTCTCTTTTCTCCTCCATCCAAACCTTCCCAAGGTCAAGATTACTGTCAGTGTGTATACATAAATCATTGGGTCTAAGCAAAATTTCTGTTGGTTTTTGAAGTGACACTACCTGATTATTTTTTTCTTAGTTTATGAACTGCTTTAATCTTGAATGTAAATTCCATTATTAGCGATGACTGTGTCCCATCTGTTCGGCAACTTTCAAATTCCATCCACATTAAAGTTTTCCAGCTTGAATGCAAAGAAGTTCTCAATGGCCATTTCGACATTTCAAGTTTTTTCCATTGAGATGGTTCTACAGCAATCGGAATAAATGGTAGTCAGATGGTGAGATTTGTGAGTTGTTGGCAGCAATGGTCACCATTAACAGCTTCATTGGATCTCAGAAGCTGATAGTAGATATCTCCCTTATAATCCTACCAGCAATAATGCCAATCGTTACTGCCAACAACTTGAAAATCTCAACTCAACTCTTGGTATAAAGTGTTCATCTTGGGTAAACAGAAGGGGCATCACATTCCACCACAATGATGCAAGACCACATGTGGTGAAGACTCAACAAAAATTAAAGGAACTCAACTGGGAAATTCTTGTCCATCCAGCATATTGCCCTGACCTTGCACTGTCAGACTACCATTTATTCTTATCATTGCAGAACCATCTCAATGAAAAAAACTTCACCTCTTTTGGAGCTGTCGAAACGGCCATTGAGAACTTCTTCGCATTCAAGCTGGAAAAATTTAACGTGGATGGAATTGGAAAGTTGCCGAACAGATGGGACACAGTCATTGCTAATAATGGAATTTACATTCAAGATTAAAGCAGTTCATAAACTAAGAAAAAAATCATCAGGTAGTTTCACTTCAAAAACAGACAGAACTTTCGTTTAGACCCAATAGAAATGGATGACTCACATAATGGTGGGGGTGGAGAAGAGTCATCATGTTCTGCCAATTCACAAGCAAAGATGCCCTCATCTTCCCATTGTTCTTCCTCCATCTCCTTTTTCAATAGCAGCATTTTCTTCTTCTCTGCTTTGCTCCAGCAGTCAAAAGCCAACTTGAAAGACTGAGCCACAGTTAGTGTTACAGCTTCTGTCTGAAAGGAAATAAATGAAGTATAAGACAGTGGGAAAATGGGATTATTTCAATTTCAATCAGCACTTTGTCCTCCAGACTTTTATTTTAAATATTTTTCAACCATTTCTTGTAAATTTCTCATTACATTTCTCTTTTAAAAGCCATTGAAATCTCCTTCCTTTCCCAAATACTGTTTTTTTTTTTTTTAAGTACAAAAAAGTTAATTCCAAATTCATTCCACTGGAAGAGCAAATACTTTCAAATAGAGGCTCAGAATGATGGTACACTATCATTTCTTTCAAATGCCAAGAGTACAGAGCACTCTACACAAAAGGCTGACTTCCTGCTGAAGCTTTGAACATTCTATTCTAAGGCAACCAAGTGGCACAGAAGAGTGACAGATAGCAAGTAAACAATCTCTGAGTACAGTTAAAGCTGCCAATCAAGCTGCACATGCATCACTCACTTTCTTTGGCTGTCACAGGTTATGGTGCATGAATCACAGCCATGAACAGAGAGAGACATGGAGAATTCCCAGCCTCTGTAGAGTAGCACACCTTTAGAAAGTGATTGGAGAAAAGAAAGCAAACTGCCATGTGCACCCTTTCAGTCACACACACCCCCCTTCCTCTTCTCTGTGCTATACAGCTTCAGGTTCATCTCATGGTCTCAGCCAAATGAGCGATCCATGGCTTGCACACAAAATATCTACCTAGCTGATATTTGCAAACTCCCCAGATGATTATGTGGTAACATGGTTATGTGAATTTATGTCAATTTATTCACTGTCTAAATAATTATTTTTCCATTTCCATTACAAAACCATCCATGAAAGGAATTCAGTCATGAAGCAGTATATGATGTCAACATGACTTTTGGATGGCCTATAAAGGTGAGTCATCAAAACTGTGATTCCACCAACCTCCAATAATTCTCATGCATCATGCCTTTCTCAAGATTGGACTGTAAGTTCTGTGAGTCATCAGAGTGACTTTCAAAACCATGAAAGGTAAGAAACAATAGTAGGAAAAAAAGATGGCCTAAAACTGTCTTATGATTGCAGGAGTATGGGCTGTGAATCACCAGAGTTCATGCCTTAGCCTTAGTCATCATAGAGAATGCATTACATTATGCCTCCTCATCACTCATCACATCATTTGGCTCTTGTCCCTGCACTTTATAGTGAAGATTTTGTCCTTCGCCCCACTTCCATACTGAATAACCCATTCCTCACTAATTCTATATCCATGGCATCAATTGATTAAAAAATTATCAGTATGGTGAAGGAAAAAAAGACAGGGAATAGCAGAAACAAACCATTTTTCGTTTGGGGCAGAGGAAGGCATGACACTCAGTAGTTTCATTGGGATTGGTGGCAAGGAAAGCAAACACATGGTCGTAGTGAGCATCTGCAGTACAGTGAGAGATCCTAAGAATAGCAAATAAGAGTATTGAGATATAAGAATTCTATGAGGACAGAAAGGGTCACACGCCAAACTGAAAATGTTTGGAAACCAGGCCTACTGTACAGTTGATATAATTATTGTCTGAAAATACCCTTGTTATAGTGCTTAATAAAGGATTTTGCAATTATCAAAAGGCTTGCCTAACACCTCCATCCTTGAACAAAATAAAAGAAGCTTCCAGAAAACATTGCTTCTTTGAAGCTGTGATGGCTGTGGCTATGATCCATCACTGCCATCTGTAACAGTCAATCCAGAAGCTATAAGCACAAGCACCTATCACAAACTATTCAACACCAACCTTTATTGCCATCATTGAATCCTCTTTTTTTTCTCTCTACAAATTTCTGTGAGTTTTTTTTAATATTTTATATTTGTGCCAAATGCTAATAAAGATAAGTTCCTTCACTTCACATCATGTAAGTGAATAACAGTACTGTTTTTTGAACTGGTTCCTCCTGTTCTGAAAATCTCTGATATCTCCATCACAAGGAATGATGAACGTCCACAATCAAGTCAGTTTACTTGCAACGATTGAATCGTCTCTTTTAAAAAGCTTTTTTAAATATATAAAATCAAATGCAACTTTCAAATCCTCCTCTGAATATTGTATTAGCTGAAGTCAAGCCACTGCAATTCCATTTCAGAACAAACATATTTTTGGTAACTTCAATTCCAGAATAACTGGGATATGCACAGGAAGTAATTTCTTCTCCTAGCACAACTTCATCCAAAAACCTCATCCAGCATTAGGATTTCTGCCTGGATTACAGACAGTCTATGATGCTTGGGATTCCAAATTCCATATTATAAATATTGTAGAGAAGAAAAGTTGTAAAGGTTCTTGAAGCATGCAAAAAATAAAAACTTGAAATAAAAAAATATTGCAAAGGTGTTGAAAACCAAACCATTTCCAATGTGTATAGAGAACAGGAAAAAAATGTTGGTTCTGTCTGCAATAGAGCTTTCATATTCAAGTGCAGACATCATAAGAGAACTTTCTGTGGGTCCTCTAAATATATACAATTTTTCCCATAAAAAACTCAATAGGTTGCTTCTAAAATTAACTAGCTACTGGTAAAACTTAATTTTCACAATAATCAATTAGGCATACAGTTGAAAAATGTACTCTTTTTGTTACTTAGCTGTACAGAGTGGGCCAAAAGTTTATTTACCAAGTGTGTATTTATCCTGTATCCAGTTTATATCCAAACTAATGTAAATCTACTCCTTAAATGTAGGTATCAGTAAGGCAGAGGGTATGAAAAGGCAAGGTCACATACTTTTTTTTTTTTTAAGTTGTGGGAAACTCTGTGGGAAAGAACTGCAGGGAAGTATGCCAAGCTTTTTACAGAAAATTTAATGATACCTGGTCTGTGGAGGATGCTCCAAGAAGTGGACACCTGGAATACATTTATAATATAATTTCTTTCAGAAAGCTTTGACTTGACACACTCCCTTTTCCTTCTGATTGGTCCCTAGTTGTCCACAGACATGGGCTGTGCATGTGTGCTACTAGTGTCTACCAGTATGTCCCATATGGACAACCAACATTTTTACTGCCACTTAGGTTTAGGTCTTGGTCTAGGAGAACAGAAGCCTACAGGAGAGTAAGTTTGGGTACCTGTACCTGAAAATGGAGATGTCCATCCTGAAAGCAGATGTTAGAGAGGTAACTGAGATGCCCCTCAAACTCACGGTTAATGCAACCCTCTCCAATTTTGTCCCAGCCATTTTTGCCTGAAACAGGACAGCAAAAGGGTAACATGATCTTTGCGTACTTAGAGACTGGTATAGGTTCCCTATTGACACTGTAGCTAGCTAGGTGAAAATTTGTTAGTAACTTCAGGAGGAGATTGCTTCAGATATTGGGTGCATCTTTTTCTCCAGCCACTAGCAGCTGCTGGTGAAAAAGATGTGCTGGCTAGGCACAACCACGTCATTGAATGACATTGCTATTGGGCAAGCAGCTGTGAGCAGAACATAGTGAACTATGAGCAGCTTAGCCTTAAAGTGATGTCATCAGATGCTGGGAGCCTCAGCAGAGCTAGCCGAGCCGCTAGCAAAAAAGACACACCCATTGTTCCTGCTGTCAGCCAGTCTCTCACATCACAACTATAACCTGTCAGCACCAAAAAGCCAGGATTTAGTAGCCTCTCTCTGATTCAGTATTTCAAGAGAGATTTCCTATGCTATTTTTCAAGGACACTTTCAAAATTCAAATTTAAAAGTTGAGCTCCAAGTTTATGCACACGGTACATCCCTACATGGAAAAATCATATATGATAATATTTTATTGAAACAATGAATATATATGATAAGGTCATATATTAAGAATTTTATAGAAACCATGTAAGTAAAAGATATAGGTGTGTAGATAAGATACTTGTATGACTTAGTATGTCTATCTAGTACATAATGGGGCATATGTCACACCTGATGAGAGACATGACCAAAACAGGTATGAAACATACATTAAATCATACTTTCACAAGTCTCTCCCAAATGTAATTTAAAAAAAAATTAGGAACTAAGATGAGAATTGGAACTTCATCTGTCACTTTTGTGAAAATACAAGCACCATTGACTTCCAACACAGCACAAGTACATCCCAAAGATATTCCAGAGATATCTCCTTGGGACAAGTGAGAAGTCCCAGGGATAACTACTAGGGGCTTCTCAGCAGTATAAAAATATCTGGGTGCCTCTCTTTCTGAAACAGACTCATTTCTTGCCATACAGGACAACCCATTATTTTTAAAGAGTTGTTCTGTATGGAGTTCTTCAACTGAAGATGTCTAAAAGACATCTCTAAGAAGTCCTAAAGACATCCCTTTCAATATGTCAGAAACCATCCAACTCAAGATGTCCATAAAAAAAATCCCATAAAGACCTTGGGACAAGTCATCCAGTTTGGGACATCCCTGGGATGTCACCATGCTATGTGGTTATGACCATTCCATATAAATTGTATACTGTACCTCATGTATATAAAATAAATAAAAGTCCTTTATAAAAATCATATACCAGATACATCATACATGCAGGAGCCCATCCCTCAAACTACAGATATATTTTATATAGAATATGTATGCTGCCCAGGTATGTTTAATATATGAATAATACTTATATGGATCAAATGCTTCAACCATATGTGGCTGCATATATATGCATGCATATTTCAATAAATGATAAATATATGAAAATAAAAGGCACAGATCATTGCATACAACCATCATATATGACCTTTCTGTAAGGGTTAACCCATCTCTACATGATGCAAATTGTTGCTAAGTTTCATAGCTCATTACCATTCCATTCATTAGAAATCACTGAAGAAACAACTATATATTCATGCCATGTCCCAAACATAACATGCAAAATATTTTAATCTATTTATAGTTCTAAAAATTTTTAAGGTGCTGTTCGCTGCACTTTGGGAATAGAAGCCTTAAGATAGATGATTCCTTTCTGAGAGACCTAAACCATTAAGACAAAATAAAACATTTTCATCTCTTTCCTCTTAAAGCTCCATACAAATTACTTATAAGGTTGGGGGAATAAAGTCTGCAGGGTAAATATTCCCAGCCATGACTATTCAAAAGCTAAGAAAGATTAACTCATGGTTATAATGCAAAATCGCATCACATAGGCATGATGCCTCCAGCATTCTTAAGTCATATCAACAGTGAGCTCCCAAAGTTAGATTTACAGGAGTAAAAGATGGTAGTCTCATTCTCTGGCTTTTCTTCCTTGATAGAATGACCAACTTAAAAAAAGAGAGGTAATAAAGTGTTTACAACTTTAAGTCTTGGTATTTAGGAGATTCTGAACACTGACTCTTTTTAAGCAATGATGTCCCAAATTAACCACTCTCAGGGAGGAGTAAGGATAAAAAAACCAAGCACTGCAGTGACTCCTATCCCTGCATTCCCACCCTCCAGGTTGGGAAAGGAACATGAAGTGAAGCATCAGAGGGTAACTAATAATATGCCAATGAATTATAGAGTTGAGGCACTTTGAGTTTTGGCAGTGGAAGGGAAAAAAAATTTAAAAATGAGCCATTTAGAAACATGGCTCTAAATGGCAAATAACATGGCTATCTCATAGGCCCCTGTCAGCAGATCAACTCCTTGTGTCAAAAATGCATATCTCTATCCCCACGACATTCTGATACAGATGCCATAATAGTATGTTCCTCTCATTCTACTTGATACTCTCATGCTGACAGTTTCATCATTTATTTACTGTTGTTGAGAATAAAACAGCTTCCTGCAATCCTGTTTTTTTCTAAGCAGGAGGGAAGGAAGGAGGATGTGAACTAGCTGAGATATTATTACCTCTAATGCAGTTTCCTATCAAACCCTGCAATCAACTGCCCAAAATCCTATCTTGACAACTATACCACTCATTACCTTGTGCATGCAGGAAAGTAAGGGGGTATTTCCCATGAAAAAGTAGTATTAGGCTCATGGAAGCCAGGTTAAAAGTGGTATTAATTCATTTGCCAAACACTGTAGCTAATAATCCATCTAATGGAGGTATAAGCTTAATCATCTACAGAGGATAAACTGGGTTGCAATCTGTCATATAAGTCTGATGCATTCCAACAGAAATGAGGCTAAGATCCTATTAAAATCTTTCTGAACACCTGCCTTTTTTGGTGTCTATAAAAACCAAGAGAAAAGAAAAAACAAACTCAATTGATATCCTAATCAGTAAAATAACACAATTTTGCAATGAAAATAAAAACTCTTACCATGTTTACAATGGTTTTGATGGCATCAGCTGTAACATCTTCTCCACCCGTTTCATCAACCAAGTGACTTCCAACATACTTGACATAAAAGGTCAAACCTTCCAGAATTGGTTCCCAATCTTTTGACCAGTCCTCTATTAATCCTGTTCATAAGGAAAAAACTTTCAAAGTTATCAGATCAAGGCCTACCTTATCCATGCAGGCTCTCAGATAGAAAATACCCTGCCTAACCCAACTTATGCTATGCATATTAGTCCAGCATTAAATAGCCTAGGGTAAATCTTAACCTGCACCTGCTATGACAGTGTCCTGGTTCTAGCTGAACTGCATGGCATTGGCTCTTATTGTCAACCCAGGCCTAATTATAAAACTAAACTAAACTAAGGCTTTTTCCCTGAAAATTTTACTCCTACTTCATTTGTCAAACAACAAGTATTTATGTTTGTGGCTATGGGTACAGGCCTATACTTTTATCTGAGGGCTATTCATATGGGAGTCTAGCACATGTGCATTAGTGGGGGCAGAGGAGTCTTTTCATATCCCTAACATAACCAATAAATCTTTAACAACAAAAGATAACTCAGCAATAGGAGAATCAAGGTTTATCAATGTGAATTTGATTCCAGTAAGATTTTCTTTAAAAATATATATATATTTGCAAGGGGCTGGGCTAGGCTAGGCAGCAAGATAGAGCTGGTGGAATGTCAGCAGGGTGTCAAGATGGAGATGGAGGGGCTTGGGGGGGAAAAAGCTTGGATTAATATGATAGAGTTATCTGTTGCAGCAGGGGTCTGAAACATATAGGTAATTTGAATGAATAATTGAGACTTGAAATTAATTTTTTTTTACAAGGGAATACAAAATCACACGAATTAAATCTGCATATTTCGCTTACATCATTTGACCATCATAGTAGTGTAACTGGTCACACAAGGAATATTGTTGTTCCTAATCCAAACCTAGCCTAGGCTTACGTCTAACGTGGAGCACGTCCAGTCATCTCTAGATCCAATTTTAGTGACGTTGCGGGGAAAGGCACAACGACGGTGACAGAGTAAAGAAGTTAAACCAGACCTAAGGTTAGGTTAAGTCTATCATAGGCCAGATGTTCGCTTATACCTTTAAACTGCCCTAGAACTTACGTCCAACGGAATCAGGTAGTCACTCACTGTGGTGCTTTCCATCGGCGGAAGTATCGCTGCAGCTATGACGACGAAAAGCTCGGCGTAGATTTGTTAGAGCCATTAGGATTAGCCGAGGTTAAGTACGACCAGGCCTGCTGTATTACGCCAGTCAAGGTGTGCGTCTTTTCGAGCAGACCTCGAAGTACAAACTGATGAGGGCTTGGAAAGGAATGAAGCACGCTCTTCTCCAGACAAACGTATGAGAATCAAACACTAGACACAGCACGTGCTGCCACGCTGGTTGTCTGGCGGAGGGGAGCACAGTAGCGAATGTGGGTAACCGTCCATGAAGCCTGTGATATTAGATGAGTCAGCGACGTGCAAAATATGCAACGAACCATTGATGGATGTTGCCCAGTATTTTTATGAGTAATATTCGTGGGTACGTATGTTTATTATTATTATTATTATTATTATTATGAATTTGCCTTCGCAGCTCACTACAAGTATGGTTGACAGTTGCTATCGTAGAGGCAAATGTTAACAGTTGTGCTTGGCCTGCATCTTTATGCTTCTTTATTGAAGATCTATGGGTGACGTGGAAAGCTTGCAAAGGCAGCCTCACTCGATAATTCGCATCGAGGTCGCTTCATTCTTCTCCAAAAGTCCATGCCTTCACTGGTGGAACAGGGGCCTTTGCCCTTCAGTTCCTCCTCGTTCGATAAAGCTGTGTGTAAAAGATATATGATGCTTACTTGCAGTCCGATCGATTGAGTACATTTTGCGCCTCAGTTTTACTCAGAACTTTTTTCGCATACTTGACTTTACCCTGGTGTTCATACCCATGGCATTTCGTCTTCGTTTCAAATTCGATGCATAGATTCGGTTTCGTTTTGACTTTTGCGAAAAAGTCGTTATTTGTTCGCTTGATCAGTATACAACGGTTGGCATCCAACTGGAGAGAAAAACGCATAAATTGAATTGTTTTATAATCACACCATCAGGATGAGTACGAAAGATTAACACAGATATGCCTGGCGTTCTATATGTAGGGCGGCTTGCAGAGATCTGCCTTCATGTAGAACATGCGTCCTCCATATAGAACGCCAGGCATATCTGGGTTAAATTTAAATGGTTGCAGGAAGCCGTTTTCTGCAGAGGCGTGGGAATGAAATTTGATATTCGAGGAGGATTTGCTTTTAACTAGGGTAACCATATTTCGGCCAGCCAAAAAGTGGACGCCTTATGCTCGGACGGAAATTTGAAGGCGAAAGATGACTTGTCCGGGAAAACCCGGACGTATGGTAACCCAGTTAAGTTTTAACCCTTCAACAATCCTCTCGACTTCCAGGTGGAGCTACTTTAAGCCGCAAAATCGCAGTAAAAAGGAGCGAGAATCAAAATCGCAAATACCTGGCTCATCTACACACACGTCGATGTTTAGTATCCTGATGCTAGAAAGGCAAATACTTCAAGGATAAGGAAGAGTTGTAAAGAGCACAAAGTAGCTCGAAATGGTATTCGAGAAGACTGTTAACCCTTTCAGACCTGAATTAAAACCACTATCGGAATAATATCCTTTTTTTTGCATTTTTGACCTCTTTCGCAATTGTAATTTAAAATTTTATGTTTTATATATAGTTTTTAAATTTTGTATAAATTTACCATATCATACCACGTTTAATTAGATAACTGAAGAATAAAAAACTGACGGGTGAAAGAAGGCCTCCGATGGAATTGAGCCATGCATAATTGCGCCCATTGTAGTGTAATATGGGGCGCAGTCACGAGAATCCCACGAAATTTCCATAGACACAATGAAAATGCAATGTCCATTGGAATGGACGCCAGGTCTGAAAGGATTGAAGAGCTTATGAAACTGTAATACAGCAAGACGAATTTCAGGGTAAAGCAATGAAATTCAGCCCGTTCCCCGTAATAAAACGCAACAAAAATAGGATTTTAGCTTTTGCATTATTTAGTTTCAGAGAAGTTTTCAATGATGGAATAATGCAGAATATCAAAACCTTTTCAGTTGATATTATTCCCCTGGCTCTGTACCTGATACCTGGTTGCTAAATAAGCCTCCGTAGACGACCATCATAGTCTACAGGTACAATTCCTGCTCCAGTCATAGACATTGGCCAGGCTAGGTGGACGAAACTCAAGGAGGTCGTCAAGGTGTGGAGAAAGAGCAAAAGATGTGAAATATGAGCAACTTAGACCTTTGTAGATCAATGTCAGTGGATTAAGACGAAAAGATTAAGCATATCAAAGACGGCGATGTCTATCCACGCATACATTCGGGCACGAATAAAACTACTATCGGTAATTCAGTTTTTATTTTTCAAAGGCAAGAGGGACGGGTGACATCAACTAGCTCACATTTTACAACCTTTTGTGAAGTTATCTGTCAGACTCGCTGGCCAACTGCCCAAATCCGAGCACTGCAATTTTAGAGGTTCCAATTCATCAAGAATCCGAAGTCTGGGATGCCGATATTTGGTTCCATCTACCTGCGATGCCCAATTGGAAAATCATCTGAAGATTAAGGGTGGATTTTTGAACAGAGCACTATCCGATAATGCAGCTTTATTTACTAGATTTATCACGCATTTTCTCTGAAATAAAGCAGCATTATCGGATAATGCTCTGTTCAAAAATCCACCCTAATCCTTGATATCCGTGTGACGTACACTATGCCGTCATGTGCGGCCGTCCGACGTACGTATAATGTACAGTACAGTACGACCATTGCAGCTGTAACTTGCTGCACCTCTCCTTTTCAGAATTGGTTAAATATTTGAAAGCTGACGGTGTCATCTGAAGGTTGGAACTCCAAAACTCAAATCCCAAATCAAATTCCAATAACAATTAAAGAAGTTATGACCGTTTAAATAAAATGATGCTATCTAGACATTTAATTCACAATCTCCTCCGGAATCAGGCTATGTAAATTGATTCAAATCCCACGGTACTGAAGGGTTAATACAAGCACTCGTGAAGCTAAAGCAACTTGGAACATGGATACAGGAGGAGCCTCGATAACATTTTTCGTGGGGCCCATGCCGGCCCAATGTGGTTCTCCAACGTCAGGATACGTTGACCCAATCCCCAGTAGCACCCCAATATTGGGTCAATATATATCGCCAAGATCCGCCAAGATGTACCCATATTGGACCATTGTTGGCATTACTACACGGAAAAACATTGGGCCAATATTGGCGTTAATATTTTCCCTAATTTTTTTTTCCATTAGAGGCATTCCAATGGTGAAGGCCATGGGCGTCCGCTCCCAGGGGCAAGGGGGGGCACTTGCCCCCCCCCCCCCCTGGAAATCGGGCATGGAAATTTACTGGTAGTACTAAAAAAGAAATTTAATGTACTTCATGTGGAAATCTCTTCTTCCGTA